CACCACTTCTATATTCAACATTAAACCCAGAAACCAATTCAGATTCACCTTCAGCAAAATCAAAAGGGGTACGAGTAGTTTCAGCTAAACAAATGCAAAATCAAACTAAACTAATAGGAAATAAAATAATAACAAATCAAACATAATATTGAAAATGATAAAAGTCAAGTATATTATAACTCCCAATTAAAAAAACAAAAGATAATAAAATTAAAGCTATTCTAACTTCATAAGAAATAGTTTGAGCAACAGCACGTAATCCCAAGCATAATTAGAATTCGAAGACCAACCAGCAATTATAACTGTGTAAACACCTAAACTAGTACAACACAAAAAAAATAATAACCCTAAATTAAAAGAAAATAATTTAACAAATAAAGGAATACAAACTCAAACAATTAAAGCAATAAATAAAGAAAAACTAGGAGAAAAATAATAAGATAAATAATTTGATAAAAGGGGATAAGTTTGTTCTTTAGTAAATAACTTAATTGCATCACATATAGGTTGAGGAATTCCTATAAGTCCAACTTTATTAGGTCCTTTCCGAATTTGAATATAACCCAACACTTTACGTTCTAAAAGAGTTAAAAAGGCAACTCTAACTAAAACACAAATTACCAAAATTAATCTACCAATTAAAGATAAAATAAGTTAAAAAAAACAAGTACTATTTGTAATAAAAATTACATAAATAAATTCTAAATTTATTGCACTAATCTGCCAAAACAGTACAATTAATTATATTCTTTAACTAAAATATAATTATTCTAATACCTGGTCCTTTCGTACTAAGATATAATAATAAATTAAAGATAGAAACCAACCTGGCTTACGCCGGTCTGAACTCAGATCATGTAAGAATTTAAAAGTCGAACAGACTTAATACTTAAGCGACTATACCTAAAAATATACCTTAATCCAACATCGAGGTCGCAAACTTTTTTATCGATAAGAACTCTCCAAAAAAATTACGCTGTTATCCCTAAAGTAACTTAATCTTATATATTCGTTATTAACGGATAAATAAATCATAAATTAATGATTTTTAATAATTAAAAGTTCATTAAATTTTAACATCACCCCAAAAAAATAATTAATGAAATTAAAATAAAATATATCCAAAAAATTAAAATAATATTAAATATAAAGATTTATAGTGTCTTCTCGTCTTTTAATTAAATTTTAGCTTTTTAATTAAAATATAAAATTCTACAATAAATTTATATGAAACAGATTATACTTCGTCCAACCATTCATACCAGCCTTCAATTAAAAGACTAATGATTATGCACCCTTTGCACAGTTAAAATACTGCGGCCATTCAAAATTATTCAGTGTCATTAAAGTCACCTTTAAAAATAACTCAAAAAGACATGTTTTTGTTAAACAGGCGAGTATATAAATTTGCCGAGTTCTTTATATAAACTTGTCAAATAAAATTATATATACAATATAAAATATACTAATTTTATCATTATAAGTTTTCATAAAAAATTTATGAAAAAATTTTTATAAATACTTAAAATAGTAAATAATAAAAATAATAAAATAATTTATAACAAATTTATAAATGATTGAAAATTCTATTCATACATTTTATATTAAAATTACTAATTTTTAATAATTTATTTTAAAGCTTATCCCTTAAAATATTCAAATTAATAACTTTTTTATTTTAATAAATAAACAAAAAATTAAAACCTTGTAAATTAAATTTATTTCTAAAAAAACTAGATACCTTTATAAACGAATAACATTTCATTTCTAATTATCTATTCAAAATAATTTTGACACATTAACTTTAATAAATAATTAACTCTTATAAAATCGAGATTAATAAAATAATTATTAATTATTTGATAAACCCTGATACACAAGGTACAAT